AGAAAGACTTGTTAGTTTAATTTTTGCTTCATTTTGAAGATTTAGAAGATTTTCATGTAAGGCTTTGAGTTTTGAGAGTTCCACCTTGCAGAAGCATCCATGCTGTGGGTGTTGGCAGCTTAATTAGCAAAAATGCAGTTTATTGCTTTGCTCACTGAGTTTTAACTGTCCTAAAAATAGTTCTGAGAACAGTCTCAATCAACTGTAAATGTAACTCGTAATATGCTTAAAATGGCTCTTTTAGTTCATTTAGGATATCTTGAAAATATTTAAGAGACTTTAAAATGTGACTTTTGTATTTATTTGTGTATAGCTGAAAGAAAAAAATCTTCAGCACTGACCCGGTAGGCAAAAAAAAAGTAGGAAGGCCTAAACCAAGATGGCGAGACTGCATTAGCAGTGACGCCAATGTTTTAGGAATAAGGAATTGGTGGGCAGTTGCCAGGGACAGAGAACATTGGTGGAAATTACTTGAGGCAGCCAGGATTCAGTAATGGATTGGATGGAATGGAATGGAATGGATTGTCGCGCTAAGAATGATGATGATGATGATGATAGCTGAAAGTTTGCAAATAAATTGTTCTTAAATTATTGAATTAACATTTGTATACGTGAAATTACTTTGTTTCATTACTTTGTTTTCATTACAGCATTTCATTACAAGTGTTACATTTCATTACAAGTGTTAAATTACTGTCACAGGATCTGACCGAGAAGTTGAAAATCCAATCTGCCTAAGGGATTTATTTGTCTGGAAAAAAAAGGCATCCTTGCACACAAAAATGAATAAAAGTGTCCCCCCCTTTCTCTTTATCACCCACCTGCCACTACATTTTGCTATCATCCCCATCCACCTCAAACCGCGCCCCCCCCCCTGAAGTTTGTGATCGTCCACCATCACTTTGTGCACATGCCCCTCAAAAGGTCACTGCACAGCACTGTAATAATGTAAAGTGTAGGGGGGATTTCAGATATAGCCAGAAATATAGCACAGAAATTTTGCAATAGAGTCTACTGTAGCTGCAGACTTACACATGAAGTCTCAGGCATGTACTCTCAGGCTCACGCACTCAATAGAGCAAGTGACATCACTGTGAGAGATGGGGGTGGGATGGGTGTAGATGTTAAAAGCTAACAGTGTCTGAGGTTGCACATGCAGCAGGTCTGCAACAAGGACCTTCTTCATATTGTGAGATGATGGTTTTTGGACACATGCACCTTTTCTCTAAAATACTCTCAAAATTCTTAGCAAGTTTACAAGCATCACTGAACCTGTTTGACTCCAGTCAGACGATGAGTTCATAATATTACTGTAGAATAAAACAATGTAAAGAATACGTTATTAAACATCATTCCAAAATATTACAAATTAGATGATAACTTATTTCTCGTTTAGCACAATCAAATGGCTTTTTGTCCCCTGCACATAAAAAAATGCATTCCCTTTAACCCAGAAATATTGTGAGATGATGGTGTTTGCACCTGGTCTGCCAAAACAGGCTCATAACTCTTGGCCGGTTTACAAGCGTTCAGAGCATCACTGAACCTGTTTGACTCCAGTGAGACGGCTGAGCATTTCAAAATGAAGCTTTGCTTTGTCCTTCTGGAAACGTGATGGAACTCATTGATGTGGGTGATTTTGGGCTCTACTTTGTCTCAGTGTGTTATCCTTGAATTCTAGCCTTTTTCAATTTCAGCTTTAGCAGAGATTGCAGCTCTGAATGAATCAGACTGTCACAGAGTTCTAACACTTTTAATGTAGTTGAATATATATTTCTTGCTAATTTTTAGACAAGAGCAGGTAGGAGTATTTGAACGTGTTGGTGACTGCAATCTAACGTAATATTTCAAAGCTCATTTGTCATAATTAATTCAACGTTCAGAGTCGACACCATATAGACTAGAATGTCATTACAAGACAATAAAACATTATATAAGCACTGGTTGCTGTGGCAATGAAGGGGGAATGAAACAGAAGCGTGTTGATAACAGAGTTCAACACCATTAGATATGAACATGAAGTCAAACTCCAACTGCGCTCATAATAACCATTAAAACAGTTGGAACAATTTGTTCTTTACAAGCTCATAATGAACCAGTCCATGCATGTCTCCATTTAGCACACTTATTCATTAAGATCAAGAGAGATCAAACGCACACTTGTCATTAACATAATTATATTCACACTGCCCAGAGAGAATGATTAAAACATTGCAAATAGACTACAAATATACATGATATATTTGATTAACATTATTTCTTCTTGTATGCATTCTTCTTGTTTTTGTTAAAAGATTTAATTCAGTTTTCCCTTTATTTACTGCTTTTGGCATTCACAAAATGTCAAAGATCCTGCAAGAAATGACAGGTAGAAATAAGACCGCGCTCTAGTTCTCCATTTGACGACCATGCTTCAGTGTGCTGAAGTATATGAATACAGGTTCAACTACTAAAGCATTGTCCTGTTGAGAAGAGTGACTATACGCTGTGACATCTTTCTTGGATGATTTCAAAAGGAAGGAAAATACGAGTCATGCTGAGTGCCACTGACCAGCCAGCAGCGCCTGGCACACTGAGATGCAGTTATATTGTGACAGTTGACTGACCCAACACTGAGAAATCACTGGACGGTGAGCTCAACACACAGATAGAAGCAATAAAGCCAATCTGTGCTTGATTAGCAAAAGCTGAACAAATGATATCGCATTCTGTTCTTTTGTTTAAAAGGATAAAATGAAATCAATTGGTTTTGTGAGATTGTTATCTACATTTAACAGGGAGACTTTAGCAATCAAAGTATCTAAGGCCATCAAATACACCGTGATAAGACTGTTGTTTCATGCTCAATTGAATCTTGGCACAAGAATAAAAGCTCAAGATTGCGTCTGTAGAAACAGCATAGAAGAATTACTCTGAATTTGAGGAATTCAGACATCTGAACTGTTTGAATAGCCACCAGAACTGTTTCTACAGCAGTGTTTCTCAAACTGTAGTACGTGTACCACTAGTGGTATGCAGGCTTCCTTCTAGTGGTACGTGGAGGAATGAAATATGTCATGTACTTGCTACACACATTTCAAAATGTATCAAAAATAGTGTGTATAATATGCCATATATGACATATAGCCTATATTTCTGAGGTAATCTGCCACTTTTTTAACTGTGCAGAGTTGTAGCTACTTTACTGGGCCTACTACTGTATTCAATACTGCTCATTTTGGTGGTACTTAGAGAGACGATTCTTTTCTGAGGTGGTACTTGGTGAAAAAAGTTCAAGAACCACTACTCTACAGCATAAAGTATGCACTTATATAGCAAGACCATGTACACAATACACTATTAAAAAAGATTGAATGACTTTGCTTTAAAAGTTAGTATATAAGTTGCTTTTAAAGTGATTAGTTGAATTTACTTAAAAAGAAAAGTAAATATATGGTCTCTACAATACCTGACAAAAGTCTTGTCATCGATCCCAGTTGTAAGAGCAAAAAATAATAACTTGACTTCTGGTTGATCATTTGGAAAAGTGACAGAAGGTAAATTTTTCAGATGAATCATCTGTTGAACTGCATCCCAATCATCACAATAACTACAGAAGACTTATTGAAACCCGCATGGAGCCAAGATTCTCACAGAAATCAGTCAAGTTTGGTATAAGAAAAATTATGATTTGAGGTTACATTAAGTATGGGGGCATGCAAGAGATCTGCAGAGTGAATGGCAACAGCAACAGCCTGAGGTTTCAAGACATTTGTGCTGCCCATTACATTACAAACCACAAAAAATTATACAGCAGGATAGCACTACTTCTTATATGCCTCCACATCAAAGTTCCTGAAAGCAAAGAAGGTCAAGGTGCTCCAGGATTGGCCAGCTCAGTCGCCAGACAATAAACATTATTGAGCATGTCTAGGGTAAGATAAAGGAGGAGGCATTGAAGACGAATCTAAAGAATCTTATACACAATATATTTTTTTTCCAATGCACCACGATTTTATATTCTATACTGTACATTTCTTTTGTTAAATGTCAAAACTTTTTGCCTAAACAAAGTCAGAACTTACTGTCCTAAATAAATATTTAAAAATCAAGGCATGATCATATTTTATTTTGGTAAAGAAGCATAATCTAGTAGCCTTTGCCTTTCAAATAAGCCACTTCTGATACCAAATGATCTAATAAAAGTCAAGATATTATTTGCTGGTCTTAAAACTTGGAAAGGTGACAACTTTTGTCGGGTAGTGTACAATATAAAGTGTGCACTTATGTATAGCAAGACCATATACTTCATACAATTTTATATTTTATATTAAAAAGTGAGTAAGCCTGTTGCTTTAAAAGTGATTAGTTGGCTTTGGTTAAAAATGTGACTAAACGTGTTGCTTTTAAAGTGAATAGTTGACCTAAAATATTAGTAGGCGCATTGCTTTTAAATGGATTAGTTTAATTTACTTTTTTTAAATGAGTAAACCCATTGGTTTTAAAGCAACTAGTTGACTTAAAAACAATTGGAAGCCTATTGCTTTTAAATTGATTTGTTGAATTTATTTTTAAAAAGTGCATAAAAAAAGTTGCTTTAAAAAATGTTGACTTTACTTTAAAAAAAATTAGTAAACCTGTTGCTTTTAAACCAATTAGTTTACTTAAATCATATAAATCTGGTGCTTTTAAAGTGATCAGTTGACTTTAAAAAGGCGAGTAAACCAATTGCCTTAAAATTAGTAAGCAAATAAACTGTCCATAATCATAAAATTAATTTAAGTTAACTTACTGTAACAGTTCCAACTCACTTTCTTAAGTAAAGTCAACTTGACTTTTTAAGACTACGAGTTTAATTCATTTTAAGAAACAAATCACTTTTTTACGCTGTAGGACTTTGATGAATGTATATTATGACACAAATCAATTGTGTTACACATAACGTCTTTTTTCCAATCAAAGTTATGACTGATCTATTACATCTAATCAAAAGAGTTTCAGACTTCTGAGAACCAACTCACCATGTTCCACTTTGGAAAGAGGAAATCAGTCCCAATGTACTCAAAGTAATGAGCGAATCCCTCTTTCAGCCAAACGTCCTCCCACCAAACCGGTGTGACCAGATCCCCGAACCACTAGAAAAGGAGAAATGAACAATCAATCATCCACACAGAAACAGAGCGACCATTACAAAGATCGATTTCATGCTCACCGGCAAAGAATTACGACAAACTTCTGTTGTTTTCTACAAAGAAAAGTGTTTATGGGTGAGCTGAAAACCAAACTTTCTTCATCAGGAAAATATACACTCTTCAATTCATCCAATACCTCGGAAAAGCATATTACATCCACTGCCAAACACATTTATATTAGAAAAGTCCAATACAGCAGAAAAATAACTTTTCCTTTCAGAAGTAAATACAAGTGAGCACTTCTAATAACCCACTGCTCTCGGGTTCAACAGAAAAGTTATTCACAAACAGCTTTACAGAACATTCAGAGCTTTTGAACTCTGACTAATAGTAGCCTAAACAATCAATTACCTACGCTCGCACAATTAAAGCACATTTTTCAGTTTCACAGCATTCATACCTGGGCACTTCGCCAAGGACACCGTAAAATAAACAGGACAGAGAAAAAATAAGGATTTGATTATGAAACTCTCCATCTGGAAGGTAGAGAGTATCCAAATGACCCCTGGCATTGTGTGCGGATGACAGTGCGCAAAACAGAGCTATTGACTGGAAAATATGCACTTCTGAATGGCCTGGATGTTTTCCAGAGACTCGGGTGCCATCAAGCAGATGTGCTACTGAATGCTGCATCTGAAAACCTCTGTAGGAGTCGAACCTCTTTCATCTGAACATGACATGATTACAGAAGCTCAAAGGCTCTTTAAAGCTACTGATGGGACGTTTATTTCTGACTCTGGGCTGCTGTCTTTCTCTCAGAGGAACCTTCCAGTGGCTTCATAAAGGTTTAGTCACTTTTTGTGCCCTCTTCTGATTCTGTACACTGCTTTTACTATGGCAAAATGAAAGAGAGAGGACTGCTTCCATGAAATGGAGGAAAACTTTGTGGAATTATGGCAAAAGTTCGCTGATATGATGTCACTATGAGACTACCACAGGCCTGTAGCCAGCTGGAAGCTGTTCAGAAGACCCACCCCTCACTAACAAAGGTCCAGAATTTGCCTCATACATGAGCTTATTTGTCCTATTATGACTGCTATGCCATCATAAATAGTAAAAATAACCCATTAAAAAGGCTTTAAGACCAACTGGAATTCTCTGTTGGCTGTCACTTTGGTGTGACTTCAGCTAATCAGTTTTGGCCAATGTAAACACTTATTTTAATTTTACAATCTGACATAAGAGAAGTCTGCATGGTTTTTAAACAGAGAAAGCATTTTACAGGTAACTTTCATTCTAAATCTTGGACCTTATGCTTAAAACAAAAAATGAGCAATACAATGGTGTAAAGCATGTCATGGTAATTTCAAATAAAGAGACTCTTACTGATCAAGAGACAAAGTCTTAAAAGGTTTACTTCCAAAAAGATTTTATTCCTTGCAAAGACCAGGTCCGACAGTCATACAGCAACACCGATTGCTGCAGAGTGTGACCCACAGGCTAGTCAGAAACCAGGTTTTATCTTCTTTGCACTGCTTAAAGGCCCACTTCGTCACAGATGACACTCAGTTATCTTTAGAGCATTAGATTTATTTATTGATTGTTTTTTAAAGCAAATACCCACTTTCTGAATGTTCCTGCTAATATTTGTTTTTGTATAATCTTTAGGAAGGCATATGTTTCTTAGTATATAATGTTTCTAGTAGGAAATAAAAGTTTTCAAGAAATCATTGTTTAGTAAAAATTAAGATTAATTTTTCCTCCACAATTTCCCCCTTTTTACCATTTATTGATAACTAATCATTAAAAAATCATTACACATTACTGACTATTGTTTAATTTAATAGTTGCTTGCTAGTTAAGAGATGTTCAAGATTTCCGTGAGGCCAGGCTAAACGAACAGACACTGCTGTTTTGCTCCTGACCGAAGCCAGACCAAAAGCGGACCATATTAAAATTGATTTGAATAATTTTTTGGCTACTGTTGATATCCATGAATTTTCAAATGTAAGTTTTTACTAGAGAGGCTAGAATAATTGTGAAGCTCTACATTATTATTATTATTATTATTATCATCATCATCATCATCATCATCATTATTATTATTGTTATTATAATTACTACTACTATTATTATGTTTTAATTATTTTTTCATAATTAAAGTTAAATTCTGACTGAGGAAAGTTGAATGTGCTGGCCAGTTTGTTATTTGCCTAATAAATGACAATAAACTACAATTTTAAATTTAAAACGTTAACAGATTCCTATTTTTTTTCTAGTGATATATGATGTTATAAATATGTATTTTAAAAATAAGTATTTGTTTACCTTTTTAAAATAATTTTTGGAAATATTTTTGGTATATCAAAAAGTGTGGTTATGATAATCATCTGATAAGCTAATTCAGCAATAGAAAAAAAAAGTCCTTAAAATGTCACTAAAATGGGTGAATAACTGCAAGAGGTCCACTTTTTGAAAGAAAAAATAATAATAATCAGGCTCACTACGGGCCTGTACCATGACCGAATATATACCATTTCAATGTGGTGATGTCATTGGCCCATAAAAATGTCCTGCCTGTTGTCAAACAATTTCATAACTGTAACAAGGGGCACTTCAATGATAACTTTACACACCTGCCATAGGATTTTTTATCAATATGTGGACCTTTTCGGATTCTTGAACGGTATGGCAATTAAAAATATAAAACAGGAAATTGTTATTGTTTACATCTTGCAGGTCATTTTTGAATGAATCTTTGAATGTAATCAGCTGTCTACTGCTTTATTTACAGCCATTGCTTGTTTACCAAAAATTAATTCTTGCTGGCACACTGTGTACCTACTGTTGTCATTCAGTAAAAAATGACAAACAACTTATATTGGGGAAACTGCTGTCTGCAGGGAAGCACTTAAGACAATTACAGAGACATTTGTTATTTATCTTTCTTCATGATGACAGAATTTGCATTGTAGTGTCAATGTCAAGCGATAACTGATTGTGAAGGAACGTGTAGTCTTGCATATTTGGTACCAACAATGACACATAATTATTTTATCTAGAAAAAATAGCATAATCTGACAGTAAAAGTTGTGCAGTCTGAACAGGACTTTGACTAATAAACAAAATGATGGATGGCTGGAAACCCAAACAAGTATACACTATGAATCTTCATCTTTGTGTAAATGATCTCTTTAAAGTTTGGAAGAAACTTCAGAATATATCATTTTTACTGCTCACATCTTTATGTTTGACACCTTTCTACTGCACCATACATTCAGATGTGACTGTGAATGTATGCATTACACATATTTTATTCTATTTTGGGGAAATGATTCATAGAATCTTATCAGATGTTTTTGTAAAACCCAAAAATACTCTCTAAAATCTTTTCTCAAGGCACTTATCTAGTTTAAAATGGTGTGATATTTGCAGAGACTTTTCCTTTGAGCCAGGTATTTTATCCCCACTGACTTGCAGAGTGTGTATATCACAGACTCTTAAAGTAGATGTGTGTACAGTAAAGAACTGCATAATTAACAAATGGAGAAGTGTTGGCATTTGTGCTTTTTTTCTGTTTCTTATAAATATATTAAAGGCTGATGGAACTGTATTTAACACAAAATGTGCAACAATAATACACATGTGGCATGTATGATGTTGTATTTGGGGGAAAATTAGGGATAATTATGTTTTTATTTTACTAATTAAAATAAAAATACTAGTCAATAAAAACTAAAATGGGAGAATATTGCTCAGTTACTTCAAGAACGTCAGAGAGACGAAAGCTGAAAAGATGGATTCTACAGTTCTTCTGCTTCATTAACAATTCCACTGCAAGAGTTCAGTCTATTCCTCTACTTTATATTGCATCTAACACCGGACATATGAGGCAGGAGAAAACCTTCAAAACCATCATTAAAACAACCTTAAGACATGAATCTCTCCGAAGCAGACGAGAATCTCTGGAGATAAAACTGACATGAAGCCTTCAACCAAACTGTCAGTCTTCACTTATAGAAAAGCCCTGAATAACTGAGTGCAAATGTCCTTCATTGACATTTAATGAGAAGGTTTAAACAAGGTCTGTCTACTCACTGTTTGTGACTCACTGCTTTCTGAAATAATATTTATAAAAAGAAAACCACAAGAAAGACGTCTTGAGTACAAGGTCAAATGTTCAAACCTGCATCATTCACAAGTACAAGCAAGACTCCCCGAACAAAATACCTTACAAAAAATATTCTTTAAATTAAAAGTTATTTTGCAGGTATACAATATTGCATATAGTGTATGTTGTAGACGCAAGCATTACTTAAATATTTGGATGCAACTTTTAAATGATTTGTTTCAATCCATCAATAAAAACTACCTTATACAGTTTGAATAATTAAAAGGTTAAAATTTAACACTCAAACACACTTTAAAACGCTTTTAAAAAGTATGTATTTATTTATTCATTGAAATTCTGTGCACTTAGATTTGACACCACTGAATCAGTTACTCATTCAAATGTGGATCCATCATGTTAAAGAAATTAAAATCTGTTAAAAAAAAACAGATTATTCATTGTTTAAAGTCACAATAAATAATTTTTGCCACTAGAGGGCCCGTATTCGCAACAAACAAAGGCATAGTTTGATGACGTTGTGACTGAGTGTGGAATCATGTGAGTTGTTGTTCATGGATGAGGTAAAATATTTAAATCTTATCATGGTAATATCATGGATTTTAGCCTTCTACAAACCATTTGAATTGATGTAAATACACAAGTCAGCAAAATATATAACACAGTTCTAGTGGTTTTTGGATATTTTAAAGAAAATAATCATACATATTGTGTCATGATTGTGGGTATGTGCGCTCTTTCTGTGATTGTGTTGTTGTCATGTTTTGTTTTGCTTTACTCCACGTTTGTTTGTTGCGTGTCTGTGTTGTGGTCACGTGTTTTCATTGCTTAACGCCGATCAGGTGTTCTAATCAGCCGCTTCAGGTGTGATTTA